GTGATTATTTATTTTCATCTTCAGAATCATATTTTAATTTATTCAAAAATAATAGTATATATTTATTCTGATATCTTAAATATATTCATCATTCTCATTAAACAACTTTACATGTATTTACATGTTTGTCCACTGCTGGACATAAGCCCTCGTAAACCCCATGGCCTAAGTCACCATGATATCCATGTTTCAACATCAACAATTATCATTCATTTAGATCCCACGTGTTGCAACTTAAAGAAGATTTCAGTGATTCCAGTTTATTAAAGAAGAAGAAAGTACATTGAATCTGAAATATAACTCTTAACAATCTTATTGGAGATTACAATATATGCGCAACTCAGAGTTATAGGTTATGGTTCAATTAAAAGTACTTTCGTACTCTATAAATGTTTTTAATTTATGTTTTATTTCTTAGTTTTTATGAGGCCTATAACTGACAAATTTTACAGTAGCCTCTTTTATCGATGTTTATCTTAGCTAAATATTTTGCAGTTACCAAGTTAACTGAGTCGTATAATTCGTTTTCGATTTTGCAACCAGTGCAGACCCCTCAAATATTATGGTATAGGAGAACAAGAAAAAAAATCCAGTTCACAATCTGTAACAATTACAATGCACTTATGGCACCTCCAAAATCAAAGATGCAACTGAATCACATTCAAGAACCAGATTAAACGCCGGTCGAGATAACATATTAGGAAAAGCTGAGTACATATAAAGCACTTCAAAATGCACTTAAGAACAATTTTAATGTTTTTTGAGGATGTAAAACTTGTAACTGCCTTATTTCGTTATTTCACATTTTAACAACATTGGAATAAAATAAATCATTGATTTGATCAATAAAGTCGAACGTTTCGGACAAATTATGCATCCCAGACAATTCGTTATGTCGCCAAACAATACATGTTCTGGTGTGAGCAAGATCCGCATCCTTTTTATACCTCAATGGGTGAAAACGAACTCAATCTTAACAGTTTGACATTTTAAATGTTGCTGTAAATTCATGATCGCATCAAATACACCAAAAGGGCTTCTCTATAAAACAAAAATTGTATATGCATGAAGCAAGTCATGGGCAGATATGGATGATAATCATCCATCGAGAAATCGCATAAGGAATTTTTTTTTTGAAATCGAATCAGCTGCGCTTTTTAGTTACTCTTTGCATAGTAGTTAGTTGCAGCTTGATGAGATCAGATGCTATTTAACGATTGAAATATTGACTTCATGGTTTGCTGGAGGTTACAGACGGTCTGGTATCGGATGACTGCGATCGCTGGCCGTTCATGTTTTCTGATTCCTGTTTCGCTTCAACAGGAGTGATGTCATTTGAATCATAACTACGTATTCTTCAAGATGAAAATAAGTAATAAAACTCCTTTACAAACATTTATTTTCAAGAATATGTGTTAAGATCATTACAAAATGTAACATACCAAATATGCCGATATCTACAACATGACGATTTTAACTCACATGTAACATAATTCACGAATTTGATTGCAAATATCAACATTATGTTGATTACCTTGATGTCTGCAAGTACCATATCCCTGCAAATCCAAGTGAATTCAACACCTCAATAAATATTTGTGTAGATGTTCCAGTTTTGTCACTCATTTCTTAAACTTTTTGTCCAGTGTATATTCGGTAACCGCTGAAATATTTAATTTCGTTCGAAGATTTTGTATTACATTTTGTCTTCATCAAATTACACTAAGTAATTTAATTTAGCAATTTGCAAATGCAAGCTCGTAAAATTACAAAATGTTTATGCTAGATGCTACTTCTAGTTCTTTGCAGTATTCGGTTTAATCAACGAATATGTGTGTCTGGCGTGTTTTAACGGCAACGCACGTAAAATAAACGTTAGCCTTTTAGTGCATATTCGGAGTTTTGCGAAACTGTTTTATACACGTATACCGGAAGAGTACGATGTGGAGTATTTTGTATTTGCAAAGATTATGAAGGGATTACATTTTTTGATAAGTAAGCAAAAAAAGTGCTTTGTTGATCTAAAAATGCATTTTATTCTGAGAAACAAAAAAATATATATATAATAATAATTTGTTAATCTTTTAAGATTTTATGATTTTATATTTAAGCATAGTTTTTGGTTTCGGCATTGGATACTTTTTTAACGCCTTGGTTTTGATTGGGTCCGGTTTCACGACCCCATTTATTATCAAATAACTTAAATATTTTAATTCTTTCTTTAAAAATCGCATTTATTTAATAAGGGTTTCACCCCATTCTGTTGTAACTTCTGAAAACTCTTTCTAGTCAGTCCCTGTGTTTCTGTAACGATTAATACAGAAATAATTAAGAAGTTAAAAATATTATTGTCATCTAAATACAATTGACACACATCTTAAGTGAATTCTCCTAGAATATTATCCACTGTTCTTTGGAAGGTCGATGGTAAATTTGATATTTCCAAACCTTTAATGATTTCTTTATGATTTAATTCTCCTTAATTATGCTGTATAGGAACCTTAATTATTTGGGTGGTCATGGGGGATATAATAATACTAGTACTCTATAGTACTCCACTATTCACAGGAATTAGTATCTCCTTTAGATTATGGACACTGCAGATAATAACTTTTAGTTTTTGAGAAATCAATATTTGAAGTTTTGATAAAATTTTCGATGCTGCAATTTTCATCGATAATTTTTAGAATTCGCTATAAAATTAATTTCTGGAAGAATCCTTGGAAATATCACCAATTATTAATTCAAGTATCCTCTTTTTAATGCAAAAAGCCGTTTTGAAAAATCACTTTCAGTTCTTGAGAAAAAACTTTTCAAATGAACGACAATTTTTTCGAATTTTCTAATTTTCGCCAATTAAGTTTTGAATTTTTAAAACTTAAATCGATTTCTTGGTATATGAGTATGAAAATTTTCCAGAATGTTAATAAAAGTGTCCTCTTTCCAATGAACCAACCCTTTTTGAAAAATAACTTTTAGTTTTTGAGAAAACAATATTTGAAGTTTTGATACAATTTTCGATGTTGCAATTTATATCGATAATTTTCAAAATTCGGTATAAAATTAATTTCTTGAAGGATCCTTGTGGAAATATCACCAATTATTTCGCCGCTTTGAAAAATCGCTTTTAGTTTTTGAGAAATAAATTTTTAAAATAATCGACAATTTTTTCGAATTTTGCAATTTTCGCCGATTAAGTTTTAAAAATTCGTATAAGATCCATTTCTTATAATATGAGTATGAAAATTTCTCAAAGTGTTAATAAAAGTGTCCTCTTTCCAATGCACCAACCCGTTTTGAAAAATAACTTTTAATTTTTGAGAAAACAATATTTGAAGTTTTGATAAAATTTTCGATGTTGCTATTTTTATGGATAACTTTCAAAATTCGCTATAAAATACATTTCTTGAAGGATCCTTATGGAAATATCGCCAATCATTAATCCTCTTTTTAGAGTTGCTTCGTTAGTTAAATCAGCATCAAAAAAGTTCATTTTGTATCTTGGATCCAAATAAATTGACATATCTTATCAGCTTTCTTATTAATTTCATTTTTATTCAAATATCGCAATAATGTGGCAATCACTTCAGAAATGCACCAGAAATTATAACCATAATGGCCGGATCACTATCTGTTCCATCACTAGTCTTTAGGTAATGCATATCTTGCCTAGGTCTTTTAGTTGCTATACACGATAACACAAAAGATTTATTTATCCATTGGTTGTGCTTTATCTGTCACTTTTAAATTTGTTGCTGAAGAAGATTGCAACATTGCAACATAGCATAAACCGGAAATTTTTAATTTCATTCTATTTCTAACATTGGTTCTAAATTCAAGCTTAATGGTGCAGGATTGGACAACTTACAGATTTTCTGCTCATGCACTCATCGCAAATCCAAGAAAGAAACAAAATAACTACACATGGTGTAGTTACTACATGTTATAAAGAATGATTGGAAAAATTAACTGAACAGTTTTATCACATCATTTTTACGAAAAGTAGTTACATGTTAACTCTCGTAACATGGCTAGGGTTGATCTACGATGAATGAGAAAAAACATTTACTAATATTTTTCAATGCACTACATGTAAATCGATAGGTTTACGAGAAAATAGGGGTTGTTTGCCCCTTTTAACCCTCTGGTATATGTGCGATACATCAAAAGAAAGCTCTTTTAAAATGAATATCAGTTACTATTTACGAAATTTTGATAGCATTTTTCGTTTTCAAAATATAAATGAAAACGTACTTTTTCTCCAAACTTTCAACCCCTATAACTCGCCCCAATCGCACGTATAAAAAAATGTGCTAACCTTATTTTGGCCCATTCTATGAGTGTACCAAATTTCATCGAAATCAGGCTCAGAAACTACAGACTCTTGAACCAAAACAAACCTAATGTTCTTATTGTTTCAGAATTCGATGAGGGTGATGGTAATTTTGAAAATGAAATACTTATCGCTGTGCCTACATTTGATGAAGCTTATTTATCTCTTAGAAAGCTTGAAACCTTTGTATTATCAAGAGAGAGTGTTCCAGGTAATATTCATAATTGTTTACATTTAATAGAAGATTTTTTCGACAAAGAGCGGTTGTCCACTTTAAACCAAAAGAAAATTAGGGATTACTTTAAAAAACTTGATTAATTTTCTACTTACAATAGTATTAAGGTTTTTGTTTGAAACTGGTAAACTTTTCGGCTTATTTACAAGATGTAATTATTTCACAAAAAGTAGACTTTCTACAAGTTGTTGTAAATAAAATAGCAACACATTTAAAATTCGGATTTTATAAAATTTTGCCATTCTGTAACAATTTAATGACAATGAAATAACTATTTTTCTTTAAATTTTGTAAATTATTGTAAATTCTTACTAAATACTGAAACAAAATAAATATATTTTCTAATACTATTAAATTTACTCTTTTTCGGTTTCTCAATTTATTTTGTAAACAAAAAAATGTTAATCAAAAATCATCAAGTCTGTTCTAGTCAAAATCATCAAAAGTCAAATTTAAAAACTAAACTTTGGTTTCGCCAGAAAACCACAAAAAATTCTTCGTGCACAAACATAATGCTTTTTTAAACCAAATTATCCCTTCGAGGATAACATCACCTTTTCGTTTTGCGACGCATGTATTGAAGATTGTTATGACCATCGTCAAGCGGGGATTACCTCAGGTGGCAAAGGATGTAAAACGCGTTGAAGAAAACACTAGCAAGGATAAACAAAAAAATGTAAAATCCGTACAGAAAGTAACATCACCAAATAATTCCCAGGAATATCGTCCTAAAAAACTAAGCGCAAAAAAAGGGAAAGCTTCCGACAAGTTATCTAGTGGCGGATCAGCTCGTGTTAAGAAAAAAGGAATTGTACAAAACAAAAACTCGCCCTCAACATCTTTGAAAGGAACACCTACCAAGCGCGTTTCTATTGATAATGGAACAAACAAAAAAAACATTATTAATAATAATGATAACAATAATAATTATAGAAAGACTCCAGATGGAAAAACTAATAGAACGGCTTCTAACGAAGGTAGAAAAGAAGATCTTAAAAGAATTGCGAAATCAGAAAGAGAAAAGTTTTCAAAAGAAAAATTACAAAACTATGTTAATTACATAACAACTAAAATAATGAAAGATAGACCTTCCGAAGGAGTTGCAAAATTAAAAATTGATAATAGCTTTACTCCGACGAAACTTTTTGGTACTTTAGGATATTATCAATCAAAACTAAACGAAATAAATAAAAATACTATCACCGTTCGTCCAGTATCTGATTCCCCAGTTACTGATGTACAACAAGATAGAAATAAACTTGGTGTTAAAGCATCTGCAAAAAAAATCACATCGAAACATTCTAAACATTCCGAAAGAAAAGGTTCATTTCTTAAAAAGGATCATCATAAAGCACCATCTAAAATAAATGTAAGAGAATTAATTCAATCTTCTGCGAGTAACAAACCAGTAATAAACTTACCATTCGAAAAAGTTGATCAACAACTTAAACCAAAAAGTAGCGTTGCCAAGTATTTAAGTTCACAGTCAAGTTCCCATAGATCTTCGAAAACGCGAACCCCAATCAAAGTCGGTAGTTTTACGGTTAATTTAAGTTTACAAGAAAGAACCAGCAGTAGATACAAAAGACTGAAGTATCAAACAGGAGAAGAACTTTTAAAATTTTATAAGTAAGTTTTTATTCGTTAACTATTTATTTAAAAACGTTTTCAGAAATTATTTCTTTTACCATGATTGTAGAGATCGAGTCGATAAAGCAATTAAAGATAGAAAAACGTTCACAGTTTGTGGTAATTTTTGGAGTGTACGAAAAGCTTTAATAGCAAGAGGATGGGTCGAAAAAATTCATTACGCTTACGCGCATCCCGATAGAGATATGATGAAAAAGCTTTTAGGACAAAGTTTGAATGACCTCATCGAAGGTGTTTCCGATAAAAGTTACGGTCCTTTATACAAACGTGTAATCATGTCGAAAATGTTAAGTCGGCATCAAGTAGATTTATTCTGGGATTATGGTTGCGATCCTTACAAACTAAATCCTGACTCTGTAAAATTAACGATAATCAATCACATCAGACGAGGATACTGTAGTTATTCGTCGAAAGAAGGTCTTTGCGAAATTATGAAAAAAGCACATTGGTATCATTTCCCGGGAATATCAAATTTACGACATCCACGATCATATACTTTAACTGATAACGGAGATCCAGAAGAATTTATTAGAGATTTCCGTGTAACGGCGGCAATATCTATGTTAAAATGGATAGCAGCAACGACAGATAGTTCTTCAGGAAAAGTAATCTCCGAGGCAGGGAAAGTACCTGTTAAATACTTTCATTTTGCAATTAACGAATGCGAAAGACACGTTCAAAAAATTAAACACGACGACATCGATGATGAGATTCCCGAACCAAACGAATGCGAATGGAACGGATTTTTAGAAAATTACTATCGATGTGTTCACATTGGTAACCACTTTAAAAAGGGCGAAGAGGAAACCGAACAATCAATGATACATAAAGCGAAAATTATGATCAATAAACTAAAAAGATATTGTTCGTACATTGATATGGATGGATACATGAATATATGGATTTTAAAACCAACCGCTGGAAGTAGAGGAATTGGTATTCACATTTGTAGGACTTTATCTTACGTTTTAAGGGTTGTTTCTGAAAGGAAAACGGTTAAATATGTTATACAAAAATATATTGGTAAGATCTTTACTAAACATTACAAGCCCACCGTCTGACAGACCGGCCCAAAAAATTCGGTGAAGTTTGTTGTAATCACTAAACATTTCTACGTAACATTTATTTTTATCGCTTAATCCGGCTGGTGTGCTTTCCAGACTGAATGTCGCACCTTTATTTCTTTATGTAAGTAAAAATAAAGGCGCGACGTCCAGTCTAGACACTCACCAGTACTGTTATTTCCGATTGGACGGATTTTTCATTTGGCTTATTTCTGTTTCTTTTTAATAAATCGCGTAAATCGTTCGAGCGAAGGGAAGATGGTGAGGGAAGGTGTGAAAAGCATCCGATGGTGGAATGATGAGGTTAGAGCATTAGTAGCAGAAAAGAAGATGATATGGTGGCAATGGAAGGGGACAAAACATCAAATAGAGTATGAAGAGTACTTAGAGAAGAGGAACATTAAAAGAGTAGTAAAATTGACTAAAAGAAACTTTTAGGAAGAGTTTAGAGAAAACATTTCGAAGTCTACTGTCAAGATAGATAATTCTGGAAGGTTTGGAGAATTTGGAAGAACAGTAAGGAGCACAAAAGACAATAACAACAGCTTGAAAGAGGAAACGGAAGAAATGCTGGAAGTATGGAGGACGTGTTATGAGGAGAAATTCAAGGATGGAGTACGTCGTGGAAGTGGCGGGAAGGAGACAGATGCAGGGAAAGGGAAGAGTTAATCAGCGGTGAAGAAGAGGAGCTAATAACTCTCGCAAATGAAGAATGTAAAAGCAGCTGGAGAAGACAAATTAATACTAGAAATGGTGAAGGCCTCCTACCTTCATGGTATTGGCCGAAGAAATTAAAGAACTCTTCCAAACGGTATGAAGGAACATAAAAACAGAAAGAAAGACTCGACACGCTGTGAAAATTACAGGGCTTCATAAATGTCATTGCAAAACTATACTCTAGAATCCTGGAGAGGCGCCTAAGGACTTGGATTGAAGAAGAACTGGTTTAGGAGCAATGAAGTTTCAGACCAGGACGACAAACACAAGATCTCATTTTCTCCCTGCGCTATATATCTGATAAGTGATCAGCAGAGGAAAATCTACATACCTACCTGGTTTCTTGGATATATACTCTGCATTTGATGAGGTGCCAAAGCAAGAGGTCTGGAAACCATTAGAGATGCCTGGAGGTTTTGGCCAGCATAACAGCATTTCGCCCCATTGTGCGCAAGGCAGGCGACCGAGGAAAACATGTAAAGAGACAGCGACGCAGATGATGGCCAGCCGAAGGAAAACTATCTTCTGCTTAGTCTCAAGGGTTTGCTTGGAAAAGTGAAAACTTTAGAAGATGGATCCTAGGTCATCCTTTAACGCCACGATAGGGGCACGCTGGGGAAAAGATAGAAGCCAGCTATTTTCGACATAACAAGCGATTTTCTGCGAAATTATATGAAATATGGAAAAAGTGGACCAACTCAACTCAACAAAAAAAATGCGGAACCAAAAATTTTCAAATTCATATATGTATAATGATTCTAATTTTTATGCCTTGATCCTTTTCTGGTTCATTATAAAAGACGTTTCTTTTCATTTTTGAAGTACAAAAATATCATTCAGTGGAATATCATTTTCTTATGCCTCATCATTCTTAAGAGTCTGGTTCGTATTTTTTAATTCTTGACCTTCATTTTCGCAGACGTGTTGTTCATCTGTTCCATCTATGTCTTCCAATGGTAACAAATTTTCAAACCAATTACGTATTTCCGCATTCCTGAGATTCTGCTCAGTGAGATCATTCATCGTATCTACAACACCTGTTAAATATTTACGAATTATTAACAAAAAAAAATACTAAACGAACAATTTCTTCATCTGAGGAAAATAGATTGTGCAACAATTAACTCAGAGGAATCAGATCTTCAGCGTCGTAATCAGTTTTTGGGTTGGTATTTACCACGTTCAAGTCTTCGGAGGAGATTTTTACCCATGCATTGTATATTAAATATACAGCGTCCTTCAAATTATAACTTAACAACGCTTTCTTCATTATTAGATCAAATATGGGCTAAAAGACTTTTGTGATAATATAATTTTGCCTGTTAATGGCATTTTGGTCCATACGCTGTAAAAGTGTAATTTACAACATTATTTCTAAGTCTTTACTAGTCAACTCTTCTATTAGGCAAATTACTTTTCCAGGCAAATTAAGACTTCTCAAATGGCTCTTACTTGACGAATAACAAAGATATGAAACCAGTCTAATAAAATTGATGTAGTTATCCATTCTGCATTGGCAGATGATTTATATTCAATTTTGTGCCTAACTTATTTAATATTTGTGAACCATTAGCATTGCAACGTGCCAGAAAAGTAACGTGTTCTTTGCTTAATTTTTGACCTGGTGCGAGCTTCTCCTGAAAACGAATCAGCTTTTTTCAGGTGGTATTTTCCAATATAGAGCAGATTCATCTACATTGTATATTTGACTGCGTCCGAGGTTGCGTTCTTTTATTTTTGCCGGCATTTTGACCAAGCCTTTTTCTGAAATTTGAAATCCGAAATTAGCTCTAAAATTATCATTTCCATAGGTTTCAGTACATAACTGTGTTACTTTAGTAGATAAAATTTCGTAGGACATTGGAATGAATCTTAATCGTTGCATACAAAACCATGTATACAAATAAGTTTGCATTTTTTGGATATTCGGGTTTTCGTAAAGTTTTTCTGGCGGCAGGACCGGAATCACATTTGACAATAAAAAAACAACTAAGAAGTTAATAATCTTCGAACATGATGTGCTCCAGACAAATCAAAGGAACATACTGCTTATATGAATTCCAGATATTATACTTGGTCGAATTTATTAAGTTAGGGGAATCCCACACTATCAATTTCAGTTTTTTTATGTGTATAATATGTAGTTTGAATGAAGTAGATGTGCATTTAAAATGCTTACCCGGATTATTGAAGCTTTAAGTAATTACAACAAACTTTACCGTGCGTTTAGTCAGACCGTGCGCGTGTAACAAAATTAAGGCAAAAATGTTCCCCTAATTTTTTTATATTTTAGAACGACCTCTTCTTATTTATAACACCAAGTTTGATATTAGACAATGGTTTTTGATCAGTTGTACAAATCCTTTAACTATTTGGATGTACAAGTAAATAAAGATTGCCTCTTGTGTGACTTGTAATTCTAAAATGGATGTTGCACAATTGATACTAAGTGAATTTTCGTTGTTAATTAGGTGTTAAATTATTTATAACAATCAATTGTGGACCGAACATTTTAAATTTCTTACAAGATTATATCGTGAAAATGTTCTAACGTTTTATCTTTTTAGGATGTGTTATTTAAGATTTAGTTCTCAAACGTACAACTTAAGAAAACTACACGAAAGTATCCATCTAACAAATAATTCGGTTCAATGCAAATACAGGAATGTAAACAGAGATCCCGCTTTGCCGGATCATAATATGTGGGATTCAAATCGATTTAAAACGTACTTAGAAACGATCGGCTATCCAAACGCGTACGATGCGATTATTTATCCTGGAATGAAACAGTGTATAACCGCATCGATCCTGATCCACCAAGAAAACATAAACACAAGAAGGAATTGCTTTGAATTATACGGAGCCGATTTTATGTTAACCGAAGATTTCCAACCGTGGCTAATTGAAATTAATTCTCGACCAGCTCTTTATGCGTCAACTCCAGTTACAGGTCGAATGTGTCCTCAAGTTCTAGAAGATGTCGTTAAAGGTTCTTTTAAAAGGGAATATCTCTTTTTTTTTATTTTCTTTTCTTTTTTAGTCATTATTGATTATCCATGTAACCCGAAAGCAAATACGGGTCATTTTGATTTAGCCTACAAGGAACAACTAACGTCACTTCCATCGGTAGACACCTCGTCGTTGGTGATTCGTGGAGAGCCTCTGTCGCCAAGCTATTTTGTATCACCGTCGACGAGCGCGACAACCGGTGCTGCAGGTAACATGTTGCAAGCAAAAAAGACCTTGATAGACATAATTAATATTAACAATGATAAACATTATATGATGTATGCCAGCGAGCAGCTGAAGAAGACACTGAAGAACTTGCTGGCTGTAATCGCGAAAGAACGAGAACGACGCAAAAAGATACGACAAGCGACATCCACAAATACAGCGATACGTAAATCAGCAGCGGCTATAACGGATGGTGGCGATATTCCATACGCCATCGCTATAACAAATGTTAACGATGAGTTGAAAGAAATCCAAGAAATTTTTCGACCAAGACATCTTAATGATAAAAGATTAGGAAGGATTATGAAAAGTCTTTCCGTACGAAACAACGCATCGGACGTGAGTTTAACATCTTCGGAAATATCTTTTCAAGAACATAATGTTTGTACTGAAACAGATAGTACACCGAATTTGATAGATAAATCCGAAATTACTTCATCATCTTGCGAATTGAAACCAGATAGTATTGAAAATCTTTCTAAAGAAGAAGAAATTGCTATTAATAAGTACAAAGAGATACTGCAACGGACGAATTGTGATTCTAATGTTAAAATAGCTAAAAGTGGATTTCTAGAGGAAATGGATAATTATTTTTCATTTTGGAAAACTTTTTCTAGTGGGAGAAAAATGATTTCTAGTGCTCCACCTTCAACCGGTTGTTCCAAGAATAAAATCGAAAATAAATTTATAAGATTATAAAAAAATAAGTCCGCATTAAATTTCGACTGTCTTACGATGACCATCATAAAGTCCGTCCAATGCAACCAATGGGTCCAGAGCGAAAAAGTCTGCTATCTCAACTACGGTAAAAAAATGTAATTTGTACCGATTCTTTTTTTTTTTCAAATAAAGCCTGAACGAAATAAAGTACACATAAAAATTGATTGTTTCAATGGATTTTTATTTAATATTTATAACATATTTACAAGAAAGCAAACAATCAACTCTTCGTGTTTATTCCAATTCTAATAATCATTAATTTAAAAAAGAAATAATTTAATCTTTGAATTTCCACATCAAATGTGATGGTCAACTTCTCACCGAGGTCAGCAAATATGAAAATATAGGCACGAAAAACCATCATGCCAGGTAAGCTTATTGAAGACGTCAGAAATAGAGTGGACAAGACTATGTCTTCACATTTTTTTATATATGAAGACTTTCTAGTATGCTGCGTTCTGAATCGCCTTTATTTCTTGCCTCCTCTGAGCTGCCCTATTTGAACAAGGGCGTGTTTGATGGCTAAAGAGCCATGTAGCTATTTATCAATGACCACAAAAATCCCCGGGAAATCAATCTTTACGTAAATTATGCTTTTTTTTGCAATTTTAGTTCTCTATATTGTATACGCTATCTTGTTTTTTGAAAAGTGTATAATTCTGACCTCAGATTCGTAATCAGCACCCCAAAAGATCCCACCAATATTAAGTTTTATAGTAATAATAAGCATTTTATTGTTTTTGATAATTACAATTTTCCCCTTAATACATCCTAATATATATCATTAGTATATTATTTTCACTCTCTACCCTCTTCCTCCATTTCCATACCCTCGGCTCCTCGGCCCAATCCTCCCCTCATCCATCCCTTTGTCTCCTCACCCCACAACCATTCTCATCCATCGTTTCCCCCCCCCCCCCCTCTCCTAAGATCTGCCCTCGGTCCAACTCCTCCTCCCTCAACTCACTGCACCCATTCAACATATGTTCCAACGTTTCCCATTCCTCCCTGCATAGCCTACACCACCTCTCCTCATCGGCCATCCAGTATCTGTTAGCTCTCTCCTCGTTTCCACAACGGAACCTAGCCACCAACTTCTTCCCTTCCTCATCTCCTTCCAATAACAAGTATCTAGGCAGTCCCTCCGTAATTATGTCCCTGTACCTTTCGTTATACCTCCCCTCTTTTATTTGTGTCCTTCTTTCCTGTCTCTGCACATCTCGGTCCCTATCTCTCGCCACCCCAAACACCCATCTCCAGTATCTAGCTTGCACGTCCTCCAGCATTGCCTGCTCTCTTCATCCCCATACCTCTGCTCCATACATCATCACACTGCTAACCAGACCTTCAAACATAATCTTCCTCGCTGCCACATTCCTTCCAAAGGCTCTCTTCCCCCAACCCCATACTTGTCCCATCACCTTATTCGCCTTTTATGCCATAGCTATCACATACGACCCCTCCCTGTTGTCTTCCCGCAACACATACCCCAAGTAGGTATACTCCCTAACCTCCTCGATCTCTTTTCCCTCCCATCTCCAGTTTTCTGTTCTTTTTCTCCCCCCCTTACAAAACTTCATCATCCTTGTCTTCCCCACAGTCACTTCCAGCCCCTTCCCCCTAAAATATCTTTCCAATGTCTTTATCATATCTTTCATCTCCGCCGCTTCTCTCGCCATGACCACGATGTCATCCGTGTATGCTAACATATGCACCTTTCTACCTCCCACCACCAACCCTCCCATTTGCCCCTTCCCCAATCTATCCTCCAGGTCCGCCGAATACAGTGCAAATAGACTTGGGTTCAGCGGACATCCCTGCCTCAGTTCCTTCGTCGTCCAAAACACGTCGCTCAGCTTATCTCCCACTTTTATCCTAGCCATAGTCTCCATGTATATTTCCTTCACTCTCGCAATTAGGTGTTCCGTGATCCCCCTCCTCCCCATCTCCTCCCACAACTTTCCCCTATCCACCTTATCAAAAGCCGCCTTCAAATCTATAAACAGGGCGTACAATTTCCCTCCCTTCTTATCCAGCTCTCTATCTACCAGATGCTTCAACACGTACACGTTTTCGATTGCTTCCCTTCCGAAAGCCTGCCTGCCCATCCGGCAAAATTTCCCCCAACTCCATCTCTTCCTCCAGTCTTCCCAGCAGTATCTTCGTGTATACCTTGTATGCCGAGTCTAGTAGGTTAATTCCTCTGTAGCTCTCTACCTTTCCCTTATTACCCTTTTTATATACTGGGCAAATTACCCCTCTCCATACGCTATTCATCCCCCCCAACAACTTCACTCTCACCACTCTTGATGCTTCCAACCATGCCTTCTGGATGCCATCTTCCCCTGGCGCCTTTCCCTTCTTCAATCCCCTAAGCACTGCTTCCATCTCCTCTTCTGCTATCTCCTCTTCCCCATCTCCCTCATAGCCTCCCAAAGCCGTTAGCCTCGTTTCAACCCCTCCCAATAATACCATAAAGTAACTCTTCCATTCTGTCATGTGTATTTCGCTGGTTATCCTCTCCCTACCCTTCTTTCTCTTTTTCAGATACCTCCAGACCTCCCCTTCCCTTGTTATCCCTCTAATCTCTGCCGCTTCCTTCTCCCTCAGTTCTGTTTTCTTTCTACTCTCAACTTCAACTCTCTGTATCCTCTGCTTAATTAAGTTTTATAGAAGTGTTATCAATTTGCTTAGAGTTTTAATTGGATAATTTTTGTTGTATCTCAATTTATGGTTCATTATGGCCCTCCTCTTTTGAATATATTATTAATTATATCAAAATAAAGATATTCTCAAAATTTTAAGTTAAATAAGTCATAAAATCATAAGTCTAATGAAAAAAGTTGCACGTTAAAATATAATAATTAAATTAAAACCTACAAAATTAACAAACAAAACATATTATAATTAAGTTACATGTTTGTATGATTAAAAATAAAGTTTTAAGTGTTATTTAATAAAATTGGATATATGGACTTACGTCAAGTAGTAAACTTTTATGTTATATTTAAACACAAATTTGTTCATAAATCAAAGTATAAAAAATAACAATAACGAAAACACAAAACTAAAACACATTAAAACTGGTTACCGAAAGCGGGAACAACTACCGAGCATCAAGGTTATGACACAAAACGCCAAAAATGACCTGTATTTTTATTTTAAAGTATGGAAAACTAGATGTCGTTATAAGTATTGTGATCAAAGTCAAGTTAATTGAACTACATTAGGTCATCAAATAAAAATCTAATATCAGTCACAATCAATTAATCTGATTTGTCTCTTTCCGGGTATGGATATCTCAAATATTCATAAGTATCCATGCAAAATTTCAGAAACCAATCTTTCTTCATAACGCCACAATAATTTTTTGAAAATTTAGTATTAATATTCACCTATGCGAAGTTAGCCCCCAATTAGATAGGATTTTACATGATTAGTATTTTGATTATAACAAGAGAACCAGTCAACCGATTTCGATAAACAATATCTCATTCGAAAGCTCAATCCTTGACCAATGCGAAAGTGGAAATGCCCGATTCGAAATCATCTTTCGAATTCCGCTAAAACGCCAAAATAATGCGAAGGTATCCGAAAGTAACAGAAAAATGACCTTTTTTAAGTGGTGATAACTCGTAAACGATGTACCCGATGATCAAAATCTATACGTCACTCGATTCGTCATAGTGTCTTCTATCGAAATCACAAAATGCTTTCGCCTGGCTGAATGCGGTTGTCGAAATGCCCGATTCGAAATGTTTAAGGATTTTGATTAAAACACAAAAAACGAATTAATCAAACACATCAATTGTCTCCTTAACTAATTGACCAATTTTAGTCATCAACATCTCGATCGAAAGCATGATCTACAATTAATGCGAAGGCGGAAATGCCCGATCTCAAAATTTACTAATATTACTAAGCAAATTTTATTCTTAATAATAGCTCTCTTTCACTTTTGCTCTCAGAAAATTTTGAATGTATTTGCTACATCTAACATATTTAATGCTCACTTGCCTTGTTGAAGATGGCAGATAATAGAATATCTATTAAGTGTGGAGCAATTTTCCTTCTATAACATTTTGTCATATCTCCAATACTAGTTGATATATCTCTGATAATCATCAGTCGTCCAATGCAGCTAATGGATCCAGAGCGAAAAAATTTTTTTTCTTTTAAATAAAACCTGAACGAAATAAAGTACACATAAAAATTGATTGTTTCAATGGATTTTTATTTAATATTTATACCATATTTACAAGAAAGCAGACCATCAACTCTTCGTTTTTATTACAATTCTAATAATAATTAATTTAAAAAAGGAATAATTTAACCTTTGAATTTCATAGTCATATCATTCCAGGTGGCATTTACGTTAAAACAGAAAAATAAATAATTAGATAATTGACTGTACAGTTATTTACTGTGTACAAATTAACAATTGTATTTTTTTGTTTCATATCATAACAAAAATAGCGATAAATATAGCGATAGTTGGAATATAATATCGTTCCCTTTTTTTCGATAATAAGAAATACTTAAATTTCTATCACAACAATTGTTTTTTTTTTTCGTTTCGAATAGTTTTAAACATAAACCAAAACAAAAAGTAACTTGTGGGTAATAAATCCACTATTGTATTTGTACTAGAGGTCTCACAAAATTAAAAAGAAACTATGGTCTTTGTATAGGGTGACTCAAAAGACTGGGAAATATTTGAAGTTGTTTAAAAAGTATAACATTACATTTTAAATTAATAAGTGAATAAAAAACTATTAATAAATAAACCAATTTTGAATATTCCCAATTTTTTGACTCACTCTATATAAGCTTTTGTTCACATACCCCTTTTTTATCATAACAAAAATGATCTGTATAAAATACGTTTTTTTTTTTAATTTAGATCGGAATATTTTCTGGGAAAAGAATTAGATTAACAAAAAAAAATAATTAGAAATTTTTCGTTTAAATAATTATATAGTATATCATTTTATTATCATATAATTCAATCTTGTCCTTAATTTCATCATTTTTTTCATTAATATATTTATATATACACATATCTAAAAAAATACATTGCAAGGAAAATATTATTTCACTAAAATTATTTATATATATATATAGATGTATATATATATAGTTCAATCTAGATATACAATATATACAATGATAGGTCATCATCATCTTTTTCATTTAAATTTTTTACTCTTCTACAATTCAATTAATAAGAACTTTATTATTTTGTTAGTGATTTTTTGACTGTTTTTCAAAAGATCTGTGTAATTTTTAATATTTTCAAATAGCCAAACAGTACAACGATTGAGAACAATATAGAGAAGTTTGAAAGAACTGTTTTTTTTCTTTTTTTTCAAAACTTACAACCCTACAGAGCACTAATTTAAGCTCAACAGTATTCCATTAGTCTATTATTTTTTTATTTAAAGAGATATTGTCATGTAGTTAGTTTTTTTACTGTATGGGTGAGCAACGGCTTTCTTTTTTTATTCAACAACCTATAGAAAACAGTAGACAACAAGTTAGTGAGTGTCATTTTCGACAACAGTACCATCAGTAAATTTATGTAGCTTATTTTTTAAGTTATTTCTTCTTATACTTTTTTTTTTGACCTATGCATGGGTTAAATATATTTTCTTGTTATTTTTCTCTAAATTTGTTCGCTTGCAGTCGAGTACGACAATCTATGATGTGTTCCTAGAAAAAAAATAAAGTAATTAGTTAATTAATCATTAATTTTAATTAACACACATATTGCTATGTATAATCTTACTTTATTGATAGTAACAATGGGGGAAATTTTAATATATCATATTTTAATATGTGGAGAGAACAAATATGTGGTTTGAGAAATCAAAAGTTTTTAAATTTATAAATTTTTATAGTGAGGTCAAGCAACAAATTATGAAAGTAGCACAGATATCTGGATACTTGAGAGATGCCAGCTGGAAAAAAATACCTAGGTAATCATAGTCTCTTACTGAGTATGTTCCTTAGTTTCACTCATATATCTCGACCCGTTTCTTGTCTGTATGTAACTCGTAATGTGCCTTTATTCTCAAGATAAGTCGCTACACTAAGTATCTTAGTACTCAAGACAGCATATTGGGCATATCACATTGTAACTTAATACAAGATTCTTCTCCTCTTATTAAACCACTTATTATAATCTTAAGTTCTTTGACATCTGACTCAAAGGACTCACACTTTTTTAAACATTTTTAAATTTATTGAGAAATCACCTTGTGCATAAAATTCTAATTCCAGTCATTCTTCTAATCTGTGATGTAAATTTAACAAAAAGGCGATAAAAGTAGGTTACTGTATTACTAAGTTATTTATCGTAAGAATTGTTGCTATATTTTAGTGATGCAACGAATAGTGATTTTGCGAAAAGCCAGATACCGGATATTCGGTATCCCCTTCGGCCGGATATCCGGTTATCCGGCATATCTATCCGGCCATTACGGTTATAATTTCTGGCGCATTTCTGAAGTGATATTATATTGCCGTATATTGTCACATTATTGCGACATTTGAATAAAAATGAAATTTATAAGGAAGCTGATAAGATATGTCAACTTATTTGGATCCAATTGGTGGTATTTCCACAAGGATCCTTCAAGAAATTAATTTTATAGCGAATTTTGAAAATTATCGATGAAAATTGAAAAATTCGAAAAAATTGTCGATCAATTCAAACATTTATTTCTCAAGAACTAAAAGTGATTTTTCAAAACGGCTTGTTGCACTAAAAATAGGATACTTTAATTAATAATTGGTGATATTTCCACAAGGATCCTTCAAGAAATGAATTTTATAGCGAATTTTGAAAGTTATCGAAGAAAATTGCAACATCGAAAATTTTATCAAAACTTCAAATATTGTTTTCTCAAAAACTAAAAGTTATTTTTCAAAACGTGTTGGTTCATTGAAAAGAGGTCACTCTTATTAACACTTTGGGAAACTTTCATACTCATATTCAATGAAATGGATTTTATACGAATTTTTAAATCTTAATCGGCGAAACTTCGAAAAAATTGTTTATCATTTCAAAAATTTATTTCTCAAGAACTAAAAGCGATTTTTCAAAACGGCTTGATGCATTAAATAGAGGATACTTTAATTAATAATTGGTGATATTTCCACACGGATCCTTCAAGAAATTAATTTTATAGCAAATTTTGAAAATTATCGATGAAAATTGCAACATTGAAAATTTTATCGAAACTTCAAATATTGTTTTCTCAAAAACTAAAAGTTATTTTACAAAACGGGTTGGTTCATTGGAAAGAGGACACTCTTATTAACACTTTGGGAAATTTTCATACTCATATTCCAAGAAATGGATTTTATACGAATTTTTAAAACTTAATCGGCGAAAATTGCAAAATTCGAAAAAATTGTCGATTATTTCAAAAATTTATTTCTCAAGAACTAAAAGTGATTTTTCAAAACGGCTTTTTGCATTAAAAAGAGGATACTTTAATTAATAATTGGTGATATTTCTACAAGGATCCTTCAAGAAATTAAGTTTATAGCGAATTTTGAAAATTATCGATGAAAATTGCAGCATCGAAAATTTTATCAAAACTTCAAACATTGTTTTCTCAAAAACTAAAAGTTATTTTTCAAATCGTGTTGGTTTATTGGAAAGAGGACACTCTTATTAACACTTTGGGATATTTTCATACTCATATTCCAAGATATGGATTTTATACGAATTTTTAAAACTTAATCGGCGAAAATTGCAAAAATTCGAAAATTTTTTTGATTATTTCAAAAATTTATTTCTCAAAAACTGAAAGTGATTTTTCAAAACGGCTTTTTGAATTAAAAGAGGATACTTTAATTAATAATCGAAAGTGATAACAGAGAGAAGAAAACTAGCCGAAACTGCAACAAGAGATTTTATATATCATATTGGGATTGTTACAATGAGGAAAAAAGTCCTATTGAGGTTGAACTTGATTATTATCTGCAGTGTCCAACACCTAAAAGAGATACTAATTCCTGTGAATATTGGAGTACTAAGTAATAGGTTTTTAATATCTAGCCAAAGTCGGATATTTGATAACATCCGATATCCGGTCAGATTTTAAAAAATAGCCAGATATCACATACTTGCCAGATGTCAGTTCCACCACTACTATATTTACATTCATGTCTACCTATAATTCTTTATAAACATAACTCTGTTATAAAATCATGATCTAGATCAAGATTTTTTCATATATATCCAATATTCATCAATATCAATTGGATAGAACAAAAGATAGAACAATATCAGAATTTGATGATAGAAAATCTACTTCATTTGAAACTGAATTTTTAATCAATTTTATCGCTTCCGCATCCTTTTTTTTTCTCTTTAATCTCGTTTCATTCAAAACAAAAATTTTTTAAATCGTCATCTTTTGATAAGCTACGGAATTAATTGATAAAGACCAGATTAGATGACTAAGATGATTAATGTTACCATTATTTCATGATTTATCACACCACCAGGATACAAGCATTATACATGAAAATATAATTATCTTGGTCAACTAAAAATCACAAAATAAATAGTTCTTGCAGACCATCTTTTGACAAACGTCGCAATTAAGTTATGATTAACTCAATAAATAATTTTTTTTTTTTAATTTTCAATATATCTATATACTATTAGAAACATTCCTATATTGAAATGAAGTAATACAAAAATATTTTACCTTGTCATTTTATCCATAACATTTTTAAGTCTCTGTTCACTAATAGATGGCACTAATTTCTGTACCATATCCCCAATAAACGCCTCTCCAATGCCGGGACTGGATCGTTCTGCTAACTCAAAAGCGTTCTTCAGTTCTTCAATAGGATCGGCGTTTTTATGAGACATTTCTGATGTCCTACCATTACTATGATACTTCCTTTGTAACTAAAATTGATAAAAGACATTAACAAAAAATACTATATCATAGACGAATTAATTACTTACTTCGGTTATAATTGGATAAATAATACTAGACAAACACGAAGGCCTCCTTTCCGTTATATTTTTCCCTTGAATCGGAATATCTCGCGTCAACGATTTTCTATTAGCTTTGATCTCTTCTAAAACGTCCCGATGATCCAATGGGCCAATTTCTTTCTGTATAATTTTCGATTTTCGTTTCATATCTCGATCGAGATCTTTGCGGTTATCGACGGATAGCGCATTTTGAATTTTTGACTATAAAAAAAATTTATTTAGATAAAAATTATCAAAAAATAATAAAGTAAATTACAGGAGTTGGTTTATCAGGTCGGTAATGATTCAAATTTGAATCTTTTGGAGGGCTTTTCTGTTGTAAAACATGCGGAGGAACGCTTGTGTGATTCCCAGAATCTTCAGATTTCATCATTATATTATTTCCTTTTACAGTCATTATCCATGGATCGTCGATATCACTTTCTGGTTTTGAGTCCTCACTAAACAAAATTGTTTGAGTTAAAACAAAATTTAATGTTGGGTGTTTTTAAGGAAACTTACGGATCTGAATGTTCGGATTCTGTTTCACTTTCTTCACTTCTTTGTGATTTCCATTTCTTATACCTATCGATAAGATCTATTAAATAAGAGTTTTTCTTTGCTTTTTTTATAAAAGGAAATTTCAACAATTCCTTTGCTGTGGGTCTCTAAAAATAAAAGAATATAGAGAATAATAAATAAAGAATATTACAGTAAAAGCCCGACATAACGGATTAATATGGGGAAGGAAGTGTTTGTTATAGCCAAAAATCTGAATTGAAGGAATATATTTTAATGTACACAAATTCGAACAGATATCTACACCGTTGCGTTCTTTATTAGTTAATTCTACTTTTTTCTAGTTCTAAACCCGAATGTTTCTAGTTCTAGGTCTAGTGTTAGTTCTAGTTTAGGTTCATTACAACAATCTAACGCTGAATTACAATTAAAACTAGAACTAACGTCTGAAGACGCACGGCTAAACCCGAAACATTCTAGTTCTAGGTCTAGTGTTAGTTCTAGTTTTACACTAACACTGTTACTATACATATAGAACTAACATTATACCTAGACTTAGAATCATTTGGGTTTAGCCACACGTCTCGAAAGACGGCTAAACCCGAATGATTCTAGTTCTAGGTATAATGTTAGTTCTAGTTTTACACTAGCACTGTTACTATGTAGAACTAACACTATACCTAGACCTAGAATCATTTGGGTTTAGCCGCACGTCTCTAAAGACGGCTAAACCTGAATGATTCTAGTTCTAGGTATAGTGTTAGTTCTAGTTTTACACTTGCACTGTCACTAGAACTAACATTAGACCTAGTACTAGAAACATTCGGGTTTAGCCGTCCGTTTCATAAGACGGCTAAAGCCGAATGATTCTAGTTCTAGGTCTAGTGTTAGTTCTAGCTTTACACTAGCACTGTTACTGTGTAGAACTAACACTATACCTAGAACTAGAATAATTTAGGTTTAGCCGCACGTCTCTACAGACGGCTAAACCCAAATGTTTCTAGTTCTAGGTCTAGTGTTAATTCTAATGTTAACACTAGACCTAGAACTAGAAACATCCAGTTTTAGCCGTCTGAAAAGATGTACGGCGAATAACTACCGTCATAATATTAATACTATTATTGTAGTTGTCTCTTTCCATCTCAATATTTAGTTGTTTGGATAATTTTATTTAATATTTCAAAAGATTTTTTCCATCAAATTAACTGATTTTTGGGTTTTTTTAATATCTACTTTCTGTAACAATGTTGACGTTTAATTGTCAAGTTGACGTTTAAAAGTCAAATAATATTTTTACATTTTGTACAGATCATTTTACAATAATGGTGTTAATTATTTCATTCTGATAAATGTTATAGTTTTGCATTTTCCACCCAACTTTCTTAGTAATGTTTTTTTTCTTGTTCTATTTATAACCCCTTTTGATTTTTTTTAATAATTTTGACATACAAATGTCATCTAAACGTTTGAACATCATTTTGACGTTTAGAAGCCACAACACATTTCCCTAAAATCGTACCAACCTAAATTTTTGGAAATATTTTGATGAATGTCGAGTATATCTTACCCGTTTTTTTTATAACTTTTATGACATATAATAGTATATTATTATATGAGCATATAATGAGCATATTCACTTCGTGAATAATAGCTCATTATATGCGAGTAGAATACTATACTTTGTCCACGACTATTGAAGTTGATTCCATAAATTTATTTTTTAAATAAATTTTTGAATAAAGGTTAAACGTCAATGTGACACAAATTCAATGTTACTAACTGTAACCAACTTCACAACAATTTGTCAAAATTAAGTGTCACTTTTATAAACCGTCGTTTTCTTTACGAAAATTAATTAATTTATGCTTAAATCATACAAAAAAAGGAATTTGTTTAGGTTTTTTTGATGACAAACATTTAGAAACTCCTAAAAAATTGAATTAAATTGACGTTTTTTGAACTTTTAACGTTTCAAATAATTATTATTAGTCTGGTCAAGATAATACCTACCCGTGAATAATGATTATTATTCACCGCTATTATTCACTCCGTGAAAAATGACTACCATTTTGTTTTAGAAAACTCATTCATAAGGTATATATTATAAGGTAGTCGTGGACAAATATATTTCACCACATTTAACCCTTCCTCTGTAAACCTGGGTATTTCCTGTCCGAACTACGAATTATAGCAGCCTAAACTCAGCCTAAACAGTTTTAGGCAAATAATTTCTTCATTTCATATAAAAAAATATGTATAAATTTAAATAAATTTTTCATGAATTGTTTATAAAATTTTTTGAGTGCATTAACAGGATGAAAAAACGGCCGGACCCAAAAGACCCACCGTTACAGACGGAAGGTGCTAAAAAACCGTTTACAGACGAAGGGTTAAGGCTCAACCGGTTTCAATTGCTATCATCTTCAGGAGCTAGCCACGTCAATAAATAATATTAAATAACCTCAAATAAACACACATGGTTGGCACAATAATGGTCGAACTGAATTAACAAACATTTAAAAATTAACAACAAAAATAAGGCAAAATAGTGACAATACCATTAAAAATAGAATAGATTATGTCAAACATTAATAGTATGACTTTGAAATATTTTTTCAAATATATATTTACATTGTTTTGTACTTACATTTTGTGGATCTTTATTTAAACATGCTTCAACGAAATCTTTAAAATATTTGGAGTAATCGCCGCTAAGTTGAGGTGGATTATTTTTGGGAATAAGAAAAAGTACTCGCATCGGATGTAATTCGGAATTAGGTGGTTCTCCTTTAGCAAGTTCTATGGCTGTAATTCCCAAACTCCAAATATCCGCTTTAGAATCGTAAGCGGATTGTTTAATAACCTCTGGCGCCATCCAAAACGGAGTACCAACAAAAGTATTTCTTTTACTCGTGGTATTCGTTAATTGGCCGGCAACGCCGAAATCAGCTAATTTAACATCACCCATTTCGCTTAGTAATACATTAGCCGCTTTAATATCCCTGTGTAATTTTCTTTCGCTATGTAAATAATCTAATCCTTTGAGTACTTCACGAAGAATAATCGCTATGTGCATTTCTTCGAAATTTCCCGCTTTCATTAAATCTAAGGCTGAACCACCACCCAAATATTCCATAATAATCCATAGTTTTGTACCCTATTCAACAAAAAAAAATTTATCTAAGTAAAACCTACTTCCAAAGTAAGAATTAAAAACATAAAAAAAAAGTACACACACACAAAACTTGAATAAATTATTCAATCGCGTTTTACGTGGGGGCTCATGGACACTGACCTCAAATTCATTAACATTCATCGTTCAACGTCGCAATATTCCAGGAAAATGCTTTAGGTGCGCCTTTATTGTCCCTATGCACAATTTGCAAGAAGAAAAGAATGTCCTTCTTATTATTTTTAACAAACACGTGTAATGAATACAAGATATTTTTTAAGAATTGCTAATCATTACACAAGACGGAGATTACGTAAAATGGAAATCTTTAAAAACCTTTTAACTACGTCACCAAATTAGATTCAACGTATTGGGCGTTAAATTGCTGTTTATAACAATGAGAAGGTAGGTTTAAGTAAGGTACAGGACAATAAGGATTCAAATCACTCATTCTAGGTGAGTCATGTTTAGATATTTTTATGTGGTGTGTCATCTTTAAGTGTCCTTTAAAGAAATGTATATAAAAAAAGAATAATCTTTATAAATAAATACCTTTAGGTAAGATCCAAAATATTTCGTAACAAAAGGACTGTCGCATTGCGACAAAACCATAATCTCTTGCTGGATATCCTCAATTTCATCTTCAGCCTCTTCAAGGTCGATGATTTTAATGGCAACCACTTGGGTGGTTCTCTTATCGAACCCTTTGAAGACTTCCCCGAAAGATCCTTTACCTATTCGTTCTTGTTTAGTGAATATAAGTTCGGGATCGACCTTCTATAAAAAAAAATTACATTACACTTGAGAATGAAATTATTTTTATTATAATTTTCCTATCGTAAAGTGCTATTTCTAATAGGTACATATGTCTATTTAGTGATATTGTTTATTCAATCAAATGTCTAGATATTACAAGATTAGGTTAGGTTGATAAAACAACTTTATCGCAAACTAAAATAGATTACGTTTATTTAATCACTTTTATTGATTAAATTTGTAAAGAATGAAATTATTGAAAAATAATTTGCATCAAAATTAGGACAGTTATAATTTTTTTTCTAAAATTACATATTCTTACGTGTTTCTACCCAATGTGTCATCTTCAGAGAACTTGACGTAATTAGATAACAAAAACACTCAACATTTTAAAATTCTATTTATGTATATAATAAACGATTATAGTTAATCTATTATCAATTAAAAGCTAATGTAAAATTGATGTTTAAAAAGTCATATGAAGGTGTAATATGAAAGCAGGATGAGCGAAATTGCTCATCATTTTGTTTATAAATTTCCTAAATTCCCCATTCCATCACAACCTTAAAGATTTTTTGTTTAGGTCACCAATGTCGTTGCAGTCGTGGCATGATCATGTCACTCTTTATTCTCATACGTTAACAGTGATATTAGTTAAGACTCTAGGCACGCAAAAACGGTTTGGTCACTTGAATTCTTAATTTCGATGATCTATTTCGAAGAGATATGCGGGATTTGTAAATAGAGATCGGTCTCTAGCTTAATAAAACTATTGAAATAAACGTAGCCCTCAAACTAATTAAGAAAAATGATAAGTATCACTTATACAGACTTATACAGAAACTAACACCTTACATGGAAGAAATCATTGGAGAATACCAATGTGGTTTTAGAAAGGCAAGAGGAACGATAGACCAGATTTTTGTTGTCTGGTTAAGACATTTGAAAAATGCTACGAGCACACCACTGACCCTGGTTTTGACAGCATACTCAAGGAAAAGTTATATCTTTTCATGGAGCTAAGTGGCATACCAAAAAAGCTTGTCAGATTGACGCTACAGAATGCCAAGGTAAGAGTTTCTGTGAATGGACGCTGTGGCAGAAAGTTTACATTGAGTAGAGGAGTAAGACAAGGTGACGCCCTCTCAGCCACATTATTCAAGCGACACTAACAAACATCGTTATGCGGATCCTTGCTCATGCTGATGACATCGTCATTATTTCCAGGATCGAAACACAACTCAGAGAAACTTACAACGAGCTGCAAAAAGAAGCTAAAAAAGTTGGACTGGAGATAAATATAGAAAAAATTAAAATACTTAAACCTGTCACCAAAGGAACGAGGACGAAATAGACATGACATCGTTATCGAGGATGCAACCTTCGAAAATGTCGTGTATCTAGGAGCCGAAATAAACAACACAAACCGGATTGGCTCTGATATACAAAAGAGAATACTAACTGCCAATAGAGAACATAGATCTCATAGAACAATAGATCTCCAGAACAACCAAAATCAGAATATACAAAACTCTGATTAGGCCGGTTGCCACATATACAAAAGCTAGCGATACAAAAAAACTTCTTGTTTTTGAAAAAAAAAATAATCAAAAGAATATACGAACGAACTCAGAGATTGAAGGTATCCTAGAGAGAGAAAACATGCTTCATAAAACGTCTAAGGTGGATTGGACATGTCACGAGAATTGCAAATTATCTGCTACCAAGATGAATGTTCGAGTCTACCATGACAGGGAGACGATACCAAGGTCTACCTCGAAATCGCTACAAGGATGAACTAGAAAGGGATCTTCGAAGTAGAAAGATACAAAATTGGAAAGGCAAAACTGCAGACTGAGATGGATGGTGTGAAGTCGTGAAGCATGCAAAGGTTCACCCCAAGCGAACGCCGAAGAAAGAAAGAAGAAGACATATACAGATTCTCTTCTAGCTATATTGCCACTGCTTCAGCATATTTCCTCTTTGTCAGTTTATATTCACATTCGTTAAAAATTAACAGAAATGACGGTGAACTAAGAAACATTAGAATTTATAAAAATTATTCTTAAAATATTAAACAAATCAAATTAGGCGCATACGCACTGCGTCATAAAAATATGAGTCATTTTTGATTATGTCTAAGATGGCTTCTAAATAGCGCATACCTCGTACAAGGTGATAATGGCGATTTTTCAATGATAAACACAAAAACATAATGTATGATATTGGATTCTGTAAAGATACGTGAGATAGGGATAGTAATTGCAATTACCTTATCACATTGATTAATTTAGTTAAATTAACTGTCAAGCATTTATGTGAATTCTAAAACACTAAATACTGTAATATATCAAGCACGCATTCTGTCAAGTCTGCATTTATGACTTATTTCTCTTTTGTTGAAAAATGTTAAATACGCCCAAATGTGTATTATGCATCAAGCGGATATTTAACCCTCTCTAGTCGATTTCCAGTCTATATTGTGTTGAGATTTTAATCTGAGGTTTCATCTGCTGCCTCTGAACGATGTCATAACTGCCGTATAATTTAAATTCATTGAGAAAAAAATACACATAATTTTCATGAGTTTGTTGCAAATGAAATCGTCGGCAAATAACAGAACAATTACATAGCACACTAATTGTAAGTGATGTAGAATCAGATAATCAAGATAGCGAAGCGGATATATTTACTGCCTATGAATCAGATGAGGACAATAGATAACGCGAGAATTTAAAATTTATAGTAAACCTATAAAAAGAAAGAAGCACATTACACAAACATCTTATGAATGATTATGGTTCATATTTGTATTTTGTACAATTATAGTAAAAAATGTGAACAACGTAATAATTTTTTTATGTAATAATTTCACAGCTTTTACAACTATCTTATGTAATGTTTATTCTTTAACATAAATAACACAAACTTGCTCATAATACTTTTTATAACAGACTTTTTCATCATTCTTTAAATCAAATTATTTAATATGGGTCAATTTGACTAACATATATTCGGCTAGCATCCATTATCCGATGGTTAACCTAATATAGAACAACTATATAATATCTTTATTGCGTAATATATAAACTAACAATAAAAATTTATTTAACATGCCAATATTATTACAATTATTAGATTTATCTTCAGTATTACATTACTTTAATGTAAAATAGATACGTAAGAGTTTGTTTGAACTAAAAGGATTATTTATTCTTATGTGATTGTGAACACTTCCTGATTAAAAAAGGACTTTCTACCTTCTTTGAAATTGCTCGATAATTTTAAAACTAAGTCTAGCTATTATTTTTTTGCAAACCTTTACGGAAAAACTTTCACGATTTTTTTGCGAATAAGAGTACTAAAACTGTCAATTAAATTAAAGATTAAACCAAGATTAATTTTCTGGTTTAAAACCTAAAAAATTCATTTACTGTAGATTTTATTTTTGATTTCAACTGTGGTTTGATATAAATATCCAAATCCACTTTGTAGCAATTCCGGAAACTACAGCCTCCGGTTTCTGCCATCTTTCTGAACATCTTCAGAAACCAACATTTCTTCTAGATCAGGTTTTTTTAAATTTTTTCATAATGAACAATAGATTATTACGTGTTCCTGCTAATGTAGAGTACTCTAACAAGCTACCTATATTAACCATAGCACTAATTTTGCTAGATATAACACCATAAGCATTAATATTATACTATTCCTACATTATGTAGTTTTTAATTATTCTGACATTTCTGGTTCCAACAAGTCTCAGGCCTCACTCAGACCTCAGCAGAACTTTTTATAGCACATATCAATGTCACAATATTTTTATAACATTTAAGTTGATTTTCTAACCATCACATACTTAAGTCTTGCTAACGCTTTATTAATAATAAATTCTTCCTCTTCTGATAATTAATCATTATAATTTGTGATTTCATGCTTCTTGCTATTAATACTTGTAGTTTTGGTGAAAACAATAAAATATGATAAAATTTTCAACCTATGAAAACATTCAATTCAAACAGGGTCAAGTTATCAATTTAGTTTATGAATCAGAAACTCCTTGTACATTCCAGTACAAGAACTTTATTTAGGAAGTTTTATACTCATTTAACCGGCTTTAAAAGGAACTCTGGCCGACACCGCTTTTATATACTGTACTGTAAAGTAATGATTGTCTTCATAGCGCTTGTTTAATAATAATAACGATTAGAACATGTCGGACTAATACCAGAATTTGATTCTGACCTCAAGTCTGGTAACATAAAAGATATCTGTTTGCTAGAGATAAAGATGACTCTTAAAGTTTCAGAATAACTGTGTACTGAAACTGCAATTCAATTTTGTAGACATTATGCTGGAAAGGGTTGGTCGTCATTTATGGAACAAGACAGCAGATTGTTTTAAAGGCAAAATAAATAAAGGAACCTGTCACCATGATTAAGTGCTGCATTTATCGAAAAATAAGACAATAGGTTTAAATATATGGTTAGTACGCAACGCAACTCCCACCCTCACCAAGATAAAACCGTCCGAGTATCATCTTGCCCACTTAAAACTTACTTATACCTCCGGTATTTAATTGAATTTGAACTTTATAAGCAGAGTAATGTGACAATTAGAAGAGTATCCAACTGGATAGATGTAGTGTACTTTATTTATTTCATTGCTTAAAGAAAACTTAAAATGGTTAAAGTTAAAAAGAGAGCTAAAATAGTTGGAGGAGTCTGCATCTGGCTGCAGTGAAGAGTTCGGAACAAAGCATCGATTTTCAAACCAACAATTGTATCCACAAATCTTTCGAAGATGCAGTTTACTGTGCAGATCCAACAAAAATCCTGTCAATACCAACCTTCGACTATATAAAACGATCCTTCTTTTCAAGATAACACAATAGACGATTTATTATTCTTTCATTCTCCGCAGAATACCATTCATTCGTAACCTTTGCAGATTCAGTTCTATTTTTATATCATATAGAATTGCTTTTTTATTTACATTTTCAATCTGGGTAATTTTAAGTTACTACATATTAATTTTTAAGTTTTAGATATTGTTAAGTAGATATTAATTAAGTTTACCAAGTATCAGATCAGTCTCGGAAGATACCACGAGAGATTACGTCTACAATATTCATGTCTATGGTATAAACTTTATATATATAAATATATATAAAAAAATTGTATTTTAAATATTATATAGTCTCCTATCTATACTATACATATAATAATATTTATAAACTTTTGCCATTTATGATCTATACGGTTCGGTCTCTATCTAGATAAATCTATCGATAAAAAAACGTAATAACAATGACTAAAATGTTTCCAACCTAATTGTTAAACATTTAATAATTACTGCGACAAGTATCTAAATTTCTCGAGTTTAGTTCCTTAAAATATGTAATAGTACCAGAGTACTAAGATCGAGTAGGTCAGGTTAAAGTTTTTATCCAAGATTAGTCACAACGATGGTTTATTAGTAACAGTATTAGTAAAAGCGAGAAATATTTATTGAAAAAAGTGTATTTTTATGATTTCTCATTGAATATAAATTAGTAGTGAAGACCTTCGGGGCCTTTGTAATATTATAAGAGGATTAAAATCTTAGAAATGCTCCTAAAAATATAATTTTTAAGGTTTCGTATTTTATTGCCGTTTTAAAATTTGTGCGGCTTTTTTCTTATCGGCCGCGGAAACAATGGTTTTCGATAAGTTTCTCAACGATTATTGTAACCGGGTTTTTATCGATTTTATAACATTTGCGGTCTAATTTTTGATACAAACTGTATTAGAAAGAACATAATGACTAAACCAAGTGAAATCATAAATTTTCATAACCAAATGATTAAATTTCATTATCCAAACCAAATTAATTTTTACTTTAAAAACATACTTACAAAAGTCCCACTTCCAATGACGTCATTTCTCATCCCATTTTGTCTGTATAAATAAGGTAAAATTTCAGGTTTGGCTCCTGCCCAAGATGCAGGTCGCTGCACCCATTTTTTATTTAACCCCAGAAACCCACCCTTTCTTCCTTCAATATTAGAGGGTTGTCTGGAGACCGGATTAGAATTAAAACCACTCTGTGTTTCCCACATTATTGCAAAAACTAATCACTTCTTTAATTTATTTTTAAAGTTATTAATTAATAATTGAAAAAAGTCATACACTTCAATTAGATTTTCTTAGATGGAAACTCGATATAACACATTATACTCGTTATAGTTTTAAATATCGTCACGTTTCAAACGAACAAACACAACTGAAATAAAGCTTATTTAGATTTAAAAATTCGGTTTAAAACCAGGTCCAAGAAATATTAGAAAGTAATTGAATTTTGAAAGGGAAACCGTTCCGGGAATGAATTTCGTCAGAAACCGAAACTTAACTATTAAAAACGCACTAGTTTTAACCTCTTTTTAGATGATGAGACGACAAGTGTAGTTCGTGTATTAAATCGAGTATCACCTTATCAATAGCGATTATCAACAAAATTCCGCCGATGGAATTCGTTATCTTCGAATAACAACACGTAGTTAAAACAGGTACACAACATAGAGAGGCCGATTCACTTTGTAGACGACCAGTACTACATATGAAAGCTTAAATGAATCATTATTTTAAATGGTCGACACGTTATCGAAACGAAGTTAATAATAACCGATCGAATCATATTTCTGGTGCGATTATGGTTGCACATAAAATTTTTAATTAATAAATTTAAAATGAAATAACCTTCAAATCTAAAAAAATAAATAATATTAGTAATTAAACACTTTGTTTTGAAAATATTACAGAACTATCAATTAAAAATCGTTAAATTTATGTTTTTAGATTTAGTTTCAGTTTTCATAATATCAACTAACGTTACAATAACAAATTTTTTTCAATTAATAAAAAGAGACAATCATAAAAAGTAATAGACGTTATAATAGTTTCAGGCAGTGATTGATGTTACTCGAAATTATATTCAATTGAAAAGCTAGGCATGGCAATAAACTCAAGGTTGCACCAATTAGAAAATAATTTCGATAGTAATCGACGCCCGCGTTGTTAATCACAAAAATAGTATGGAAACTTTATTTTTATTAAGCACTGTCGAAAATTCGTACAAGAACTTGGCAATGTTCTCAACGCGACCGAATGCACTTTCACTTTCCTCGCTTTACATAACGAACAAACCAACGAACCGGCTTTCTTCGCTTCGTTTATCCTTCGAATCTTCTAAACAACAACGAGAAAAATAAAAAAATTAAAAATTTGTCCTTCAACTAAAACATTTCTTTCGCGACATTTCCATACGAGTTTCGAACGTAGACTGTGCCTTCTACTCTTTGCACGTTTGCTGGGACGGGTTCGTTGGTTTCGTAAAGCACACAAACGTTTCGTTATAGACGTCGTTGTGTGTTTTTCGATGTCTCGCCGCCACTTCCCGGCTTCAAACTATTATCCACCATTGGCGGAGCCACCAGGAACAATGCAAAGTATAATAGTATACACCTTTCGCCTTTCTTGCTGCGGTGGCGCGAGCGAGAAACACAAACGTTAGTAAAGAGACTGCCGATAATCAGGCCAGAAATATGGAACACATTGCGAACTTATCGCTTTCCATTTCGGTGACGCAACAAACGCCAACAACAAAAACCAACAACGACGGGGTCTTAAGATACCGTAGACTGTTTCTGGTCAGAACGAAAAATCGTTGGAAAATCGTGGGAATTTCGTTTTCAATTGATGTTTGTTGGGAGAATGTTGCGTTGCGAAAAAAAAAACGTATTACAATTGTGGAGGTAATTTACACGGTGTTATCAAGAAAAAGAAAAATATAAAGGAAGAAAATAAAAAACTTTTCCGTTCTTATAATAAGTGTTGTTCTAGAGTTGTGATAAAATTATTGACTAATCTTTTTTTTAAATTATTTGCAACTTTTGTCCTCAAAAATGTTTAAGTGTTTTTTTAATTCTCTTATATTTCTGATATCTTTTCCATTTGCAGTTGAAATATTTTGTAATCTCTATAAGTAATATCTGTAATTGATCGCCAAGGTATAAACTAATTTTTGGACCCAATCTATATTGGAATGAAATGTAAACATTGGGATAACTTGTAATTTACACATGTTATAGCTAAATTATTAACTCTCATTTCCGAGACTTATTAAAGCTAAACTGGACATATAAACGTTAAGCACATACATTTGGAAGACTACTCATTTGATGAGAAATATCACAAACTTCTCATTCAACATCATTATGATTAATAGACATATAATTAGTTCATAGCAATTATGTATTATGTCCTCACCGCTGAGGACTACAATTAATATCATATCAACCCAAAATTGGTCCATACATTGCAACATCTCAGCCAAACCTATCGTGAAGAATCTATGACTTCGTCTGGTAAAGCCCACGTCGCATGAGCCTGAAACTCTACAATTAATATTTTATCAACCCAAAACTGAACAACGGATTACAGCGTTTTGGCTGCAAGTGACTTCAATTAAACTTTGCTATGAACCAATTCGTAGCAATTAATCCCACAGTTTAGTTCAAAATGCCTAAGCCAAAGTCGCTCACCGCTGAGAACTACAATCAATATATCAACCCAAAATTGGTCCATACATTGCAGCTTCTCAGCCGAACTTATCGTGGAGAATCCACGACTTCGTCTCATAAAGCCCACGTCGCTTGCGGCAAAAGACCTACAATTAATATTTTATCAACCCAAAATTAAGCAGCGTTTTGGCTACAACTGGCCTCAATTAAACTTGGGGTGAAGAACGATTAAGGCTTTGTCGAGGTCACCTGCAGCTGAGGCGCTGCAATTACCACAGCGAAATAAATCCATTCCACAAGTAATAAACTGTCAAAGTCACAATAACAGATGCAAGGTCTAGAGACTCAAGAACGTCATAAAAACTTCGCAATCATCTCAAGACCAACTTAAATCAACAGGCTTGAGATTTAGGTCCATAACAAACTGTTGAATAAACGCAAGGTCTTTATTTCCAAAAATCCAACAAGAAAAGCTATGATCCTCTATAAGAAAGTCATCGATTTAATTGGTGTAAGAAATTGTTGGACACACAATGGTAAAATGTTCGTGGTTGTAGGGAAAATATTATCATTACTAGTCTTCTGGATGTTGATGCTTTTGATAGGAAATTCCGAAGGGTTTTTTTTATAACAGTCTGCTAAGAAAAAACATCGTCAAACCCGTCCTAAAGGACATCGTAATCATCTCAAGAGTAACTTAAATCAACAACGTCCTTTTTTTGTAAAGGCTCTTACGCTATAAGGCATAAGATATATGTCCATATGAAAGTGTTGAAAAAAACCAGGCTCTTTATTTTCAAAACTCATACAAGAAAAAGTATGATCTTTGATAAGCAAATCTACTATATATTCCATAAACTATATATTCTGAAGAATATGTCTAGACATGATCACATCATATAGTTACAGCCTTTAGGACCGACCATGCTTTAATCAATATATACGTACACTTACAATAATCATTTAAACTTATCTTATTCCGTTCTACAGCATTTTTTTAAGCTTCAAGACATGTTCTTAGGTGAAACATGAGCTCCTACTGAGTACACACTTCCCTTCCTCAAAAGTCTGTCCCCACGCAGATGCCGACCCTGAAGTAATGGACATAACCCGTCCATCAGGTAAGGTTCGTAGCATAGCTGGGAACATTTTTACACCCAACAGAGTAAGGTGGGCTATTTCTAATTTCAAGCCCCTAAAATCGCCTGGAGGAGATGGAATTCTGACCATCATCGCAAACTAGATCGGCCGCAGGCTCCTAGGAAGGAATTGGGGTCTCAAACCACGAATGGTTCACTGGGCCTACGTAGCAATAATCAGACCCATGGTCGCCTAGGCCTCATTGGTTTGCTGGCTAAAAACAAAACATAAGACAGCACAACAACAGCTGATACAAATCCAGCGGTTAGCATGTCTTAATATAACGGGTGCAATGAGATATTGTCCGACGGCTGCTTTGGAAGCCCTACTCAGTCCCACACCACTCCATTTATATATACAAAAGGAGGCAGCTTCAAGTGCCTTATCACTAAAAACAGTTTCTTCACCCAAGTTGATGCAGGGTAACCTCAGAGGACACCTCAAAATCCTCAAGGGCCTGAGTGAAATTAAAACGGACCTTATTCCGACAGAATACAATTTCAACCTCCTCCTCAACTAAAAAGAGGAGCCCTAGCCTGGTACACCGATGCTTCAAAGACAGTTAGATCCGGAGTAGGTATGGGCATCAGTGGACCAAATAGCCACATTAAACTGCCCCTCAGCTCAGACATAACAATTTTCCAAGCAGAAGTTCTTACTATAAACTGCTGCACCGCTTTGAACCTCCAGAAGGGACAGAAAGGTGCATCCATAAACATTTTCACAGACAGTCGGGCCGCCTGAAAGGCAATTCAGGCCAACATGTGTGATTCCTCTCTGATCAGAGAGTGTACCAGCAACCTGAGAGAACTCGCAAAAGAACCCAGGTCACAGCAACATTGAGGGCAATGAGAAGGCGGACAAGATGGCCAGAGAGGCAGCGAACACGCCCTTCATTGGACCCCAACCAGGTTGTGGACTACAAAAAAGCCACCTAAAACAAATAATCAACAGTTGTGTGAACATATACTGTGCAATTGCGTCGCCAGATGCCGTCTTAGGTACAAAATTTTCGGTAAAACTCTTTTGACACCTATCGACATAAAGGTTCAAGACCCCAGGGCAATACTAAGGTTCATCAAGGATCTACATTTGCCCTAAACTTTTGGAGGGTTAAAGTTACAATAGATGTTATAGGTCGCGGTAACGAGAGGAGCCGCTCCCCTCAGTCCGGCAGCAATAATAATAATAATCATAACAGGTGAAACATTAAGATTAGTTCTATCCGTTTTCAACTCCCATGATGCAGAATACAATTCTTGTACTAATTTTGTGGATGTTACGCCTATTCAGACACTTCAAAATTCGTGTTTACGATTTATCTATGGTGTTAGCGATTTATCTATGGTGTTAGCAAAACTCTCACCGTCTCTAGTTGAACATGTTAATACGTCACATGGTACGTAAAGCTTCTTCCATATAATTATTAAATTTCAGACACCTTCTTACTTGTACAATAAAATCACATTTCTCAATATCGCTTACAACTCTTTAAAAGATCCTTCACGTACAGTGTGTCTAATATTTAGAGTGGTATTCCTACATTCATAAAAGTTGAGTCAGCAAGGTTTTAAGCTTAAATTTAAAATTTTTTTATTGGAAGTACAATTAAATTCTAAATGGTAAATGGAATGAGTTTGCAGTTACCGTGGGCTAAGACCGTGAAATAAATAAGTTTTTTGTTTCTTTCAATTTTATTATTATTATTTGCACAATTTTACTTTGATAAATAACGATTTTGTGATATATCTTGTAGAA